GAACCCTTTATTTAAATAAGGCATTTTATCAAATTAAAATATACAGCGATATTAAAATTTGGTTTACATAAAATCCGTACGCAATACAAGTTATATATTTACAATTAGAAAGCTTAATGTTCTAGAACTAGCTTTGCTGGTGGTGATAGTAATAGTCCAGCTTACCCATAAACTTTTTTAGCAACGTTTCTTCCTTTAAACTGTTTGGCAAATCATTCCAGATTCTTGCTCCGGTAAATGCAAAACTGTTTCAGTAAAAATCTGTGTGACTTTTAGGGAGCGCAAGATTCATTCTGAAAGATCGCAGTCCATAATAATGAAAAGAGGCGCTATGGGTAAACATTTCAGACAGGTACAGGGGAGTGAGAGCATTTAGTATTTTAAACATCAAAATGGCTTTTTGACGTTTTCTCATTGTTTCTAATGTCATCCAGCCTAATTTACAGAGAACATCACTAGATCTCTGCAAACAGGAAGCACCAGTTATTATTTGCGCTGCACAGTTTTGGAGCTTTTGCAAATTAACAATCTATGCAGTAAATGGTTTGAACCCGGGGGTAACATGTGAAGGTGTAGTCTGATCGTCCGGGTGAGTGTAGTCCTGAGAACAATCTATGTTAATTTGGATGGAAGGATATCAGGATGGAACGATATCAGGATGGAAGTATATCAGGGTGGGAGGATATCAGGGTGGGAGGATATCAGGGTGGGAGGATATCAGGGTGGGAGGATATCAGGGTGGGTGGATATCAGGATGGAAGAATATCGGGATGGAAGGATATCGGGATGGGAGGATATCAGGATGGGAGGAGATCAGGATGGAAGGATATCGGGATGGGAGGATATCAGGACAGGAGGATATCAGGATGGAAGGATATCAGGATGGAAGAATATTGGGATGGAAGGATATCAGGATGGAAGGATATCGGGATGGAAGGATATCAGGATGGAAGGATATCAGGATGGGAGGATATCAGGATGGAAGGATATCAGGATGGGAGGATATCAGGATGGGAGGATATCAGGATGGGAGGATATCAGGATGGAAGGATATCAGGATGGAAGGATATCAGGATGGAAGGATATCAGGATGGAAGGATATCAGGATGGAAGGATATCAAGATAGAAGGAGGGATGGATGGGTGGGTGGCAGGAGGCATAGAAGGATGGGTGGGTGGCAAGATGGATGAAGGGATGGAAGGATGGGTGGAGGGATGGAAGGATGGGTGGAGGGATGGATGGGTGGAGGGATGGATGAATGGGTGGAGGGATGGAAAGATGGGTGGAGAGATGGATGGATGGGTGGTGGGATAGATGGAGGGACGGAAGGTTGAATGAATGGGTGGAGGGATGGACCGTTGGAAGGGTGGATAACACAGACACTTACCAAGCTTCAACAGCCTACAAACTACTTTTAAACAAAGCCACTGCAACTCCGGTATGACCAATAGCCATTTGCAATAGAAAAACTATGATCAGATTATGATTGACAAATTTGAATTTTCAACCAACTTTTCACCCATAGATGTTTCCTTTACCCTGCGTAATCCTTCCAAACCCCTGATATAATAAATAACAACTCTAGGAGCTATGTATTAACCTGTAGGTGGTCCTCTTTATCATCCACAATATCTTGGGGAACATTCCTTTTCTTTTGAACACAATCATCTCTTTTGGCCTTTTATTGATAGAAATTAAACAGCAAATTAAGGTTACGTACTGTTTTACATAACAGCCATTAACAAAGCAAAGGAGTTCTAATTTGTAGCTCTCCAAAGCAATGAGGTCAAGCTCAGAAACTTGTAAAAACCAGAATTGTTCATGATAAGTTATTGTGTTTCATGCAAAAAGCCCATCAGACACTCAACTGTAATAATATGACAGCCATCTTTATCAGAAAGAGAGAAACAAAGGGAAATGTAGGAATTTGAACAAAATTGGTCACAAGTGAATGTCTGAGACTGTTGCATGTAAGTTACCTAATAGAATGTTAACATTTTTGTGTAAGAACAAATTATTCACTGTACAGGCATTACCACATAAGAAGTAATATCCTAAATTCAACTTGACTGCAAGTTTTGGGCAACACATATCTCTACACTCTATAAATTCAATTGTTTTTAAAACTTCTTCAGAGTCAAGTTTCAGAACAAAAGAAGTAAACATAATAATAAAAAAAAAACATTTAGCTGTGCTTGCTAAGTCTCAACACCCTAACAAAAAAGTTACCTGCTGCTCTGGTGTGTATTGCCACTGTCACACAGTAAATGTGCAAAATATGAAAACTAGAAATAAAATTACTCTCTACATTGTCAAGAGCATTAAGTAGTGATGAGAGAAAGTGAGTGCACTTAAAAACAAATGCTACAAGAAACCTTTCTCAGCTCTATTGTGACCTCATTCCTCCTTTGTCTTAATGCCTGAAAAAAAAAAAAAAAAAGAAAAGAAAAAGACAGGCATTTCATGTTAAGAACTATTTGTAACAATTATACCTCATTATATTTGTAACAATCATACTTCATTTTTTTTTTAAACTGTACATATCTTATTGTAATCATTTTTATTTTCCTTTGGTTTCATCATTCTTTGTAATAATATACTGTAGCTAGATCATTAGCAGGCAAAGAGCCACCTTGTGGAAGTACCACTAATAAAGTCGTTATTATCATTATTATGAGAAAACTGTTGCATAACAATAAAAAATGATAAGCACTTGTACTAGTTCCATTCAAATTCGCTCCCTGCCTGCTGACTCTGACGTGCACCCCTTTTCTTTGCAAGAAATAATGATAGTAAAGAGAGCATATTGTGTACAGTTATAGTTTCTTACATGTACACACACTTTACTATCATTCTTTCTGATCATCTTTAAAGATATGTCTATGCAAACTTTTAAATCCAGAAAACAGACTAGCTCCTAGTTATGACCTTGGAAAGTTATAATTCAAGAGCAGTTTTTGTTGAAAACAATGTGAACATCATGATGCTGTCCTACTGCACTCCTCACAAGAACTATCTTGTTGACAGCTTGATCAAGTAAATCCTTGTAATCTACAATGCAATATCCTTTCAAATCAGTGATAGCAGAGGCAAACAAGGATATGCAAAGAAGGAGAGAACAGGTGAATAGAAAAAAAACTATGAATCTGAAGCTTCTTGTAACTTTTTAAGCATGCAAATTTTTCGAAAGCTTACAATATCACACAACTGATCAACACTATGGAAGTCCCTTACAATTATGCTGACATGCTCACACAAATCGGATGGCATGGTGTAGTTGCACGTGCCATAGCTATGCAGAGACTTTCTTTTTTAATACAGCTACTGATTGGTTTCAAAGCAAAAATATCTCCCCAAAAAAGGTGAAAAAGAGTCCAAAATAGCACCTTTTGAGTGACTTACTATTGCAAACTATTATTGTTGGCCTGGGCAATATGACTGCCATTTGAAAAAAAGCAGAGAAGGGCTCTAATGTCATTTGCTTTTCAGCAAAGCTCAAATTTTGCGAGGCAAAATACTTGTTTGATTCAAAAGTTGGAAGTGTGATCATTTCAATATCTTTTTATACACTCATTAACAAGACTTAAAACTGCACTTGACTATGCACCAAGATTCATTAACATAACCTTGCAAGATCACCACATTGCTCCTGTTCCATTAAAGATTCACCATGGACAAAACAGATTATTGAAAGTTCCCTCCACATCAGGACAGGTTTGTTTAACAGAGCTTCAACTTTCAACCTTTCAAGCTGAATCTTCAAGCAATGAACGAAACTTAAAACAAACTGCTGTATCTCTTCTGGCGCAATAACCATTCCCCCATAAGACATTAACAAATGACTATCCAATCGCCTATTCAGTAAAAAAATTTTTAAGAAAGCCACTGTTCCTTACCAAAAGATGCCAGATAAGATTGGCTACAAGTACAGGTTGGTATTCAAACCAAAAACAAAGCAATCAAAAGGAAAGAATAAGATAGGGAAAAGAGACATCACATGGTACTACCATTTACCGCTGGAAAAAAAGTTCCAATTAACAGTCCACAAATGCTTCCTGAAAGACCATGCATTTAAACAACATCTACAACAGATACAATCTAACAATCAGCTACTTGTGCATCCCACATAAACACATCCCACATACATAAAAAAAAAGTGCTCGCAAAAGGAAAGATGTCATGAGACCAAACTGGCATACCAAGCAATCTTAGCGATAGAAAATTAACAACAGACTCGTACACAAGGCTAGCCACACATTTTAGGAACACCACTAAAACCATGAGAGACAAAACAGAAATGTCGCAAACACCTACGTTCACTTGAAAAAAAGGGAAACCCTTTAAAAAAAATGGAAAGTACTCAGTGAATGCCAACCATGCGAAAATATTAGCAAGGAATTTTAACCAGTGCCTTCATGTAAAATTTCTAACCACTTGTGGAAAAGATCTATGGAAGGAGGTACGTGTACACACCACTCAGTATATATATCAAGAAGGTGAAACGGGTGTAAACTCCTACCTCTCATAAGGTAGTAACAGTCAGTTATGTCCAGTATATCAAAAAACCCTCTTTGATGAGGAACCACTCACATGGCTAGAGTTACAACTTGTCATGAGTGAACACATGCTGCACGATGCAGCTGTCGCATGCCAACACTCATTCAAATTCACCCGCCAACAGTGAAACATTGAAAAAATATTACTCACCGATTGATCTTTGTCTTTGTTTTTGTAATACCTCTGCCTTGAATCTGTACTCTTAGTGGACATTGTGGCCGTTAGAATAATAAAACGCGAAGTCTTCACCGGCAGCGAAAATCCGCCATGAGTATCCCATACAATGTCTAAATTTGATTGCTACCAGCGCTGTAACGCATAGCCAAACCCAGAAATCAACTGACCGCATCTCAGCCGACTCAGCCTCATACCCAGTCGCACAGTCAGTCGAACATAAAAACTAACCGAGAAGCCCCTGGATACGAGGTAATAAAGTAGATTCATTCGATTCATGTAGCTGTACCCTCCCTCCCCTCCGTTCCTTCTTGTGGGGGGGTTACGGCTACACATGTGCTAGCTTCAGGCTTTTTAACTTATCTGCAAGAACATGGCGGACAGTCTATCAAACGCGAAATGTGCGATGTGTTGTGAGAACACGGCAAAATATCGCTGTCCCACATGTGCTAAAATAACATGCAGGTCATGGATTTTTGTAAAATTACGTTCTGTTAGGGGTGTATGCATGTATACCAGCCTATAGCTAAGAAATGAGCGAGAGCCTTAAATTAAAGATGCCTTCAGTTTTGGCTGAGTTTGGGACAAAATAATATCTAGCTAGATGTAAGTAAGGTTACTCTAGAAAGGGATAAGATTTTTGGCTAGAAACTAAACTTGTCAATAAATAGAATGAAAAAAAATAGCTGACTTCAGTCTGTGATATTTGTAGAATCACTTTTTTTTTTAATCTCCATGGGTGCTGTGTGAACTGTAATATGAATTAGTGCAACTAAGTATTTGATGTGATTGATTTCTAGTCTAAGATGTGTAAAGAGTCACAAGTTGACATTCCAGTGTTCAGGAGTGCGCTGTAAGACCAAGTTTGTATCACTTGACAACTACAAGTGCAGTAATTTACAATCGGGTGAGTAATCTACTTGCATTGGTCACAAAATCGTAGGATATAGAAATAAGAAATTTGTTCAGAATTGAAATTATATGTGGTTAAACTTTAAATACTTGTAGCCAAAGAGAATGCTGATTAATATGGTCAGTCTCTATTTGATAACCTGCTTATGGTGTAGATGACTAAATTTACAATACTACTTCATTCAAATACACGATACATAATTATTTGAAAAGGTGGACCGTGAGGTTATCCCTATAAAGGTTCCCTACCACCCAATCCCAGTAAACAGGCCGAACCACACCACAGTAATCTCGTGAGTGGGTTCTTTAACATCCCCCGCCTAACCAAATTAACTAATTAATAGATGCAGGAGACGGGACCTACGGTTTATTAGTCCTTTTCCAAGAAGACTAGAATGTCTATCCATTTCTTGATATTATGGAAAGGTAGCACATTCTCCTCAGTTATTTTAAGACCTTAAGTGTTGGTCCGGCCTGGGCTCAAACCCTCGACCTCCTGCACAACAGTCGGGCATTCTAACCAATTATTGAGCTAACCAGGTGGTTACAATTTAACTTGTTTAAAGAAGAATAGGTTGTAGGGAATTTTCTCATAAATAATAGTTCTAGATGGGTTCCCATGGCCACTGAGTACTCAACCAAAGAAATTACCTTCCATGTGTTTTAACTAATATTAAGACTTTACAAACTATGACAAGATTTGTGTTTAGTTTATCAACACTTTGAAGTAAGCATGCCTTAAAGACAAAAACAACTAAAACAATTTATCCTTATTAATTTTATGATCATCTTTTATGATCTTTACTAAGCAGCTAATGTGAAGACCAATGAACAGTAAAATACAAACCCTGAATCACTTTCATTTTGAGAAATGAAAGGGAAATCAAACTTAAACACTTCATATGCCCTTGCTTCTAGATGATTTTTATTGTCTAGTTTGTAGTTTGTATTGTTCAAAAGTGATACCCACAGATTTCTATACACTTTGGTTCTGCTTTGTAGACCTTGTGTTTTTGGAGGACATGGACAGACTTGTGAACTCTACAGCACATCATAGTAAAAACAAGTTGAACAGAAGACGTCAGAACTTTCAGGTGGATATAGTTTTATGTTTGAAAATTAACTGAAGTTTCCTTGCTTGGCCGTTGATAACCAGACTTCACTGAGATTGGAAGGTGTGAAGAAATCAATAATGTCAAGTTTATGAAAATAGAATTCTTCAGAATCCATAGGCTTACTATACTGAGCATGATTTGTGGTTTCAGATTCAAATGAAAGCTGATTTGTCAACCCACTTTATCTGTGTTGTATCCTAGGAAATTCAAGGACGAAATTATAAACAAACCAGCAATGAACATGAACATTCCAAGATTCCTTTTATTCCTATTCTTTCCTGCGCAGGTGCATCCATGAACACGTAACACAACTATGACATAACTTAATATAATGTAACACAAGTATAACAAAACAAGGTCACGATATAACAATCTGGAGTTGAACAGTTATAGATAAAGGCAAAAGGGGAAGGTTTAAGCTTTACCCCTTTAAGAAAGCATCAGTTTAGTAAGAATCCATAGGTACTCACCCCCTACAGCATACCTTTTACAAATTACTGATTGGTAGACCTCAATATTTATATTATTGAGTAGTTACAAAACAACTTTTCATTTGAAGAGAACTGACTTGGAAACAAAGACAAAACTCTGAAAATTGTACCAACTTGCAAGAGATATAATGTGTATCTCAGCCCAGACTGTAAACTTATAAAATTGAGCCAATTTAGAGTTAACAAGATTGGAAAAGTGGTTCAATGGTCATAGCAACCTGTCATTTTATCAACTTATGCAGAAGTATTGTCTGAGGGTTCCCATCTCACATCAACAATATTTGATCCCCAAACCATTTACTGTATGTAACAGAGCATGTTTTTGATTGAGTATTATGAAAGCAAAGCCAAAAGAATCAAAACAGCCAATCAGAAGAAAAGAAAACACCCCTAAGGGTAGATGAAAACTAAAACTAAAAAGTAATTAGAAGCCAATCACCAAAAGTGGGGGAAAATGTGACTAACCAAGTCATGATTGGGTTTAAAGGCTGATAGTTTCGAAAGAAACTGTTTGGGGCTGCATCGGTGGGAGTAACGAAATAATTTGGATATATCAACAAAGTTGAAATGGTAAATTGGCCACCGTAATGAGTACAAAAGCTGACGTTTCGAGCGTTAGCCCTTGGTCGGAGCGAATAGAGGAATTGTGGGTTGTGTGTGCTTTTAAAGGCAGAAAATGGAGCTACGTTATTGTTGGGAACATGGCAACGAGAAAAACAGGAGTAAATTAGTGGAATGAAAAGCGTTCGTTGATCCCTGTGGGATTGAGACTGCCAGTTTGAAAGATGATTGGGTTTAGTCTTGCATCTGATTGATTGTGAGAGGAAAACAAATTACAGAGCACAGTAAAGCAAAAACAATGCAATCCAGGATTACTTTCCACATGTACACTTAATTCAAAACACTGCTCTTCTTATTTGTTTGATTACTTTAAATTGTTTAGGTTAGGCAGCTTTGTCTGGTAGCAAAGCAACATGGTGTGGATTTAAAGCTCTTACCTTATGGAATGTCCAGGAGGAAGGAGAATACAACAGTTTTTAACAGAAAGTAAGTAACTAAGTCATATACTTGACTGTGTTAATTATCATTTTTGGTCTTTATTTACTGCAGTTAGTTTTAATGTGGGATAAGACAACAACTTTCTTACACATCTACTCAGTAGCTTCTCTATAGGAACCTTTAAACCTCCTACTAACAGTGCATTAGAAATAATCAGAGGCTAGAACTAGACCAGAAGATACCAACATTATCAAATCCAGCTCATCAAATGACCAGGATAAACCAAAGAAATTTCAATTTGTCTGTTGACTGCAAAAAGTTAAATATCACATGTGGTCTCTCTAATTACTTCTTTAACATGTGTGTGGGTTTTTCATGAGTATGAAAAAGAAAACATTATATGTGACAAGTGAAAACCCTCTGAATCTTAAAGGAATTGCACACCATTTTCTGTCAATTAACAAAGTACACTGTAATCCATAAAAGATTTTGTTCCAGCAATGCCTTTGTCCTGTCACTTAGTCTTGCCTCAAAGATAGGCTAAAAAAAAAATGTGTAAAACTGAAAACCTTGTAAGGTGCAACAAAAAATGTGAAAGTATAGGAAATTTGTAACCTTTGGTTGGACTTGGTGACAAAGCTCTCCCATGCTATGAATTATGAACAACCTTCAGGTGCAAGACAGTGGAGAGGGTCAAGGGTTCAAGAAGCAAGCATTTTTCTATAATGAACAGTAAAATTAATTCAAGAGCTTATTTTTAAAACAACCAAACTTCTATTCTTGCACATAGGCCACGATGCATGCAGTTATGATATTCATCCTATCAATTAGACAAAAGATAGGATGCTTCAATACATGTGAAAAAAGTAATTGCATACATTCTTTGCTCCCTTAAAGCTCCCAATTTGTGCCTTCGTACCTAAATTGGTTGTAACACTTTAGCTAGTATCTGCTACCAATTAGTGCCCATTCGGGAGGCACCAGTCAGAATGCCATTAAAGTCTGAATTGTTCGAGCTTCTATTTTACAATTTATTTAACTACAAGAGCTCAGCAGGGAGAATCACTTTTTATTTCCAGAATGTTAATAAATGTAATATTTGGTTTCACATTTTTCCACCCACTCCAGATTAGTGATCAGTTGTGAATGTGATGTTGTATAGAGCTGAGTCACATGCAAGCTTCTGTGTGCTTTCCAGTTTGAACTGCCCCCCCCCCCATTCTACTTAAACAATAAAGTGTTTCTGTCAAGGAACTATCAGCTAATATTTCGATCAAGGAACTATCAGCTAATATTTCGATCAAGGAACTATCAGCTAATAGTTGCCCCACAGGAATTTGAAATATTTGCCCTAGAAGCTAGGCTTCGAGGGCAAATATCCTAGTTTTAAGAACATCAAATTTCCAAGGGGCAACTATCAGACTGATAGTTCTGAGACATTAACACTCTATTGTCTCAATTGTTCACCACTAAATTTTCTTCCGTGCGCCAGTTGAAAAACAGTCAAAACCTAATAAATGCAGATCAATCAAATATTTATTCAAGACGTGTACAGCCTGTCGCAAATGTCAACAATTCGCAACCGTACATGGGCTAAAATTAATAATACGTTATACCTGTCAGAATTGAAAAGTCACTGTTTTTCTGATCTGCTTAACTTCACGGCTGTCAAACCATTAAAAAAATCCAGTTTTTTCCACAGATGGGCACTATAGGCTGATAGTGTCTCTCCACAGATGAATACTATCGCATCACGTGATCAATTTAACCAATAAGAATGGGAGAAAATTTAGTGGTGAACTATAAGGTCTCATAGTGGTCAATCACTTAAACTTAAAATTTTTTTCTCTGTCTTCCTATGTAGGGAAAAGTGCATTAAGTGGAGAATTCAGTGGCTATTCCCTGAGGCTGGAGTGGAATATACTGACAAATGGTAGGACTCTTAAAGAGGTGTTTTCTTTTCAAAATATCTTTTATGGTGATGAACTTAATTATTTGTACACCATGTGAATTGTACTTTCTAGATTTACTTTTATAGTTATAATTTCCCTATGAAACCAGTCTCATGGAGTACTCCTCTTCTTGTTTCTCTTTTTGTTTTTGTTTCCGGTTTTTTTTTGTCGGTGATACAATTGGATTATGCAGTGTTTCAGAACAAGAAATCTTAGGAGATGCCCTTATAAAGTATATAGACCCTGAAAAAGCAGATGTTGTTTACAAACAAAGGTAGTGTACAGTAGTTGGCTGAAAGAAGGTATACATTATGTAACTTACCTTACTCACATATTGCTCTAAAATGATGTTTGTAAATAAATTAATCAGAAGTGCTTCTGTGGAAGGTCAGCAGATTATGCATTTGGCTTATGCATTTGGCTGAAACCTAACTTGACTTTCAGGTCATATTTCACATAGTCTTAACGTGGGACGTTATGTTCCAACAAACCAACTACTTGAAGAGGTTTAGTTTAGAAAATGAACCCTGAAATATGGCCTCCAAAATGTAAATCACTGTACTGTCAAAAGATTAAATTAAATTATTATGTGTTATTATAGAAAGTAATTTCGTTGCCATTACTCTTGTTTTATTTCAACAGTTTAAAGAACTATTTTGAATTTGGAACCCAAGGAGTATGCGTGTTTTTAAAAAATGAGCTTGTTCCAGGGACCAAAATTAGGTAAAGTGAATTATCATGTTTAGTCTCCTTCAGGTGTGAAATTCAACAGTTTGGAACATTCAAATAAGCCACAAATAATAGCTGTTGAAAACCAGTTTCAGCATTTTGTTATTGACACAATAATAGACTGTAATTGTAAAGGATGTCAATTTTACTATCATTTTCTAATTTTCTTCACTAAAAAAAAGTACAACTCGTGTCAATTTCTCTTTAATCTCATTACTTCCTTCTTAATGTTGAGGGGGGAAATGTGTCAGCAACAGTGAAAAGGATTGTAGCTCTACAACAGAGGTTTTTTCTGTTGTTTTGCAATGTCTAGTTGAGGTTTAGGCATGACTTTCCATCATACTTAAGTATATTTACTTGTGCTAACTATGAAAATGGTCCATAGAGATATAGACACCTTTGGTCCCTGAGAGCAATTTCTTTTCGCGAAGATAGACAGTTATTGTGTATTTTATGTCTTATTCAGTTCATCTGACTGGAAACTCTTCAAGTCCCATACACATCCAATTCTGGTTCTTTATTCTGGTTGATCCAGTTCTTAACGGTTAATAGTCAGTCTCACCCCAATCTTGGTCTGTTTGAAAGAAAAAGCAGATTATCTGACTTTAAATTGATCCTTTGTTTCAGGAATGAAAGACCTCACATTTATACTGTTAAGTTTGATTTTTATAAGAACAGTCTCACACGTGCATAAAAAAAGCCAATGTAGCAAATTAACACCAACAAGATAGCGCGATAGTGCGTCCCAATCCATTTAATGAATGGCCGTTGCTGCAATTATTGTTCTACAAAGATCCACAATAATTGTAAATTAACGCATGGTAGATAAAGCAAACCTTATTAAAAATTGTAGGTAAGCAGAGAAAATCCTACCACAACTTTTAATTTGTACAGGAGACCCTGTCCATGTTCTCTTGCCTTCTCACGAACAGCGTTCCATATCTTTACGGGGGTCTTCGTTTTCGTACTACGAAAATGAAGACCGGGTCTTAGGTCTTAGGTCTTCGTTTTCGAGGGTCTTCGTTTTCGTAACAACCATCTTTACAGTGGCTTTTTGCTGTATTTTGGTGTAAAGTTAATTTCTTCTAATTTATTTCCAATCTACTGAAGGTATCACCAGCTAGATATTTCACAGACCTTGAAGAGTTGCTTGATCAAGAAGACTATAATTGAATTCCCCACCTTACACGTTGTACTCCTTGGGAAGACAGCAAGCTACTTCACCGGCAGCCAGCACACCGACGACGCGTGTGCGGTTTGATTCTCTATAGATCCTGACTGAATCGTCCAATGATCTCTTGTGCTCATTAAATTTATATTGTATATTAATGTGCTCAAGAGACGAGAGGACTAAACAGTTTTCCAAACACGCCTGTGGGTCAAATTGTGTTGCAAATAATTCCTCCAGATCAACAAGCCAGAATAAATCTGACAGCATCAGAGAATCATTCCGGCTTTCAAAAGTATCCCCTGCATTTTGCAGGGATAGAAATGTTGATGTGTGATGATGTAAATGAAGGCAATAAATGTTAAGATTGGGTAGGATTTGGATTTTATTAAAGTTGTTTTTGATACTACCAGGATAGGAATGTCGAGGGGTGATGCTTAGGCGCAACTATATGTAAATGAAGGTGGTGAATTTAAGCGTGATGATTGAAGTGAAGGAAAATGTTATTCATTGAATGACACAGGCATACTCGGAGTGAAAGAATCCGAGTGCTCCTCAAAGGAATTGACCCAACGACCTTCCGATTAGAACTTCGGACGCTCTACCACTGAGCCATAGGAGACTTGTGACATACCAGGTTGTTTAGCTACTTCCATAATCAGGTAACACATAGGCCGGTAACATTGTGGTTATTATCTTTGCTCGCCGTATTCACAAAGTGTGACACCATGCACTTAGTTTAACGGCGTAACTCGTGTTGGGAACACTTGGAAGTTTATTATTTTGTTACGGTGCATTTAAAAAATAGTTGCTGCAGCATTAACATTCGCACACACTTCGCAACATCCTGCTCACCAAATTTAATGCGATTCTCAAATAATCTTCACGGGACGTCATCAAAATTACAATTAGGAATTATCAATCCTTTCAAAGCTGAAGGCTTATCTTTTGGCAAATTTTTGGTTAGGGTTTTTCTTCTGATAAAGTAGGGTTGAATTTCAAAGCGTGTGCGTGGCACACTATTAAAATGGCGGCCGATAATGCTGTCACGTACGAGAATAACTCTACTCAAATAGATGTTAATGACGTTAGAAGACGATGAACATTTTTGTTAGCTTTCGGCCGCCATATTCTCGCACCTCGGACGGACACAAACGTGGTGTCTCCAAGACTTGCTCACAAGTCGCGCTTTTGAGCGCGAGCCGAGCCGAGCCGAGCGAGCGATAACAGAAAACCAAGCGAACGACTTTGAGAAAGTCTAGGTGTCTCCCTTCAAAGCCTAGAGTAAGTCAGTAAACTCTTCATTTAAAGAGGGAAGCACTTCGTGGCCAAAAGGCTGATAAACTCGTGGCCCTCATACATATAATACTGATACCATTATAAATATCAATAAGTAAAAATAAATACGTTATCAAGAACTGAAGAAAAATTGCAGCTCAGAGAGCAGCAAGAAGCCAGACGACATCGAACAAAGTTTTAGAAAGTTAAGAAAGTGTCAGAACAAATTTGATTGTTCTATCTTTTAAATGTTTTTTTTAACAAAGAACTCAAACCACCAAACTGCGATTCGATTCGCGCCAAATTATTTGTTTAGAGTTATTACTTTACTGTTTTTACCACATAAATATTGTTAGCACTTTCTTACATATTTTATCACATTGTAGCGTTCGCCACATTTTTACCCATTTCAACTTTTTCTACATTGTTATGCTTATTTAGAAAACCTTTTACTCACTTTAAAATGACGGAGAGGTCGAAACGTGCCTTTTCATCGCTAATTTTTATCTCGAAATTGATATCTAAGAAATAACTTTTTAAGAATTGAAGAATAGTTCTCCTTACCAAGATACAACACGGTTACATTCGGAAGACATAGCTTGAGGTACATGGGACCTTATATTTGGTCGAAGCTCCACAAATCAATCAAAATGGCAGACTCTCTAACTGCATTTAAAAATCAAGTCAGAGTCCTTGACCTATCAAATGTTCTATCGAAAAATAATTGTGAAAATTGTGAGTTATGTAAAACTTAATTTTATCAATTTTAAATTGTTTGTAGATAGTTTTTCTTATTATTATTATTATTATTAGTTTAGTTTACGTAGTAGGTGTCCCCAATTAGTATTTACTTGTAAAAACTAGAACGATTGACAAGTTAATAAAGTTATTCATTCATTCAATAGTTCAAAAACTAAAAAACATGATAAAATCTAAAAACTGGTAGACTACAAGATTAAATGTATTAAAAAAATTGGATGTATTAAAAAGGCAGCTAAATGGTACAAAATTGCAGGAGCTCTAACATCTGTGGCCGCCATGACCATATAACTTCAGTACAGGAAGCAGTCACGGAAACGTCTAAATATGGTTTGATCAGTTGAGTTTCAGTAGGACAGAGATGATTGGTTGATAAGGACTGATAGGAAGAGGACTTTTCTCACCTATAACATGGAGCAGTAAAAGCAATGTTTAACACCTTTTCACAGTGGGGTATAAATTACTGAAAATTAAATTAAAATGAAATTACTGAGCTTGTTCTGTTTCTTAATTGTAATTTGGACATTTCGAGGTTCTCCTGTCTTTGGTGTGTCTCGCGTATTGGTGTTGTTGGTGTAATTGATTTAGTTTCCGGAAATCCGTAGATATGTGGATTGAATTGGCGCATTTACTGCAGTTGTGGTAAATCTTTGTAGCAAGCGCGTATGAAACTGTTTCTGGTAGGTGTGTCTGCTGTGGTCGATCAAATAGGTGCGCTTGGTCTAGTTTCTTGATGTTGCGCTGGTTGCTGTGATTTTGACATTTGGAGGTGTGACGGGTTTACTGGTCTTTGGCGTTGTGGCTGCAGTCGATGCAATATAGTTCAGTTGCACTAGATTGTTTGCGCAAATCTGTAGGTTGTATTGTTGATGAAATTGGTGAACTTGGTTCTCATCACTTCGTCACGTACAAACATTTTTTCACTTCTAAGAAATCGCATTGATTTGATGGTACCGACTACAATGTAAGTATGTACTTTCAACATAATGCCCATCTGTTCAGATTTCTGAGTTTGGTGTGCTGTTCCTTATAAATTAAATATAAACTTCGAGCAATAAAAAACCTAACCAGTTAAGGGTATACTTACTTACACTCCGGTTTTTTAACCAATCATTTGAAACGCTACAACAGAAAGAGCACATCGCACGTGACAACGCAAACATAGAGATTTGTTCAGTCCTAGTGTAGTCCAGCCTTCGCAAGACGCAAAATACAAGGCCAAAATCTTGTTGAGTTCATTCATGCTTTTAATGTTGTATTACAACGCATTGATAGAAAATTATATTAAGGAAAGGAAAGGTTTTTTTTTTTTTTCTAAAGGAGTACGAGGTATGAAACTTAAAGCAACAGATGGAAAAGAAGTGGATCGGTAATGCACACTCCAATTACTTTACTCACTGGAGACTGACTTCTTTTTATCGTTTCGTTTACTCATAACCCCGAACAGGAACCTTTTCATTTGCAGGACATCAGGGATTTCCAAACATGTAGGTTGTAGCAGTTCATCTCATAAAGACATCTGTATTTCTAAAACTTGAATTATCCCTAAAAATAAACATAATCAGTGAGATTAGGGAGGTCATTAAGTACTTCACAACATCATTTGAAAAAACATTTCAGTAATTAATCAAAACAATTAGTGAATCCAACAAATATCGGGAAGATTAGAAAAGGTGATATCAATTTTCCCCAATAAAGCAAAGAAACCAAAGCAGTTTCAAGTAAACTTATAGCCTCTAATATGATGAATATGGTTAATAAACTGACTATAGAGTTTATGTTCGCCGGCAAAATTGTGTTTAGGGCCCGACTCAAACTCCTTTTAGTCCCAGCCGTTAGCCCCAATGCACGGCACAATCTTACTTCCAGCAAAATTAATTTAAGCGGCACGGCACATCAGCAAACTTATATTTGTTGGTCGGTCTTACACAGTTAGTGGAAGGTCAGTGGAGGGGTGTTGATGAATGAAAGGGAAGAAAATTAAGCATTCATTTTAGGGAAATGAAATGGTCAATGACTGAGGGAAGGGGATATATATATACAGAGGCTATAGTTATATCGTTATAATAATTGCATGTCTACATATTTTCATCATTTGCTCTAACCTCATTAACTAACGGTTTGCGGTGGTGTTTGACTCAAAAATTCTTAGGACATATTATTTGTGTGCAGGTGTTTGTGATACTTATTTCGTTCTTGCTGGTTTTGGTGGAGGTTAAGTATGGCCTTACTTCAAACTGCTTAGATGAGCCTTGTACTCCATGATTGTGTTTTGTGGCAGATTCAAAACCCTCTTGAGTGTGTCCCTACAAGAACGCAAACATTCACCTTATTAAGTGCACAATAGAGAAACAGTTGCTCTGTGTCATCAGTTACATGTAATTTTCAAAAGCATTGCCCTAAGTCAACAATATTTTCTAACAAATGGAATTTTAGGGGTGTGAACTCCCATAACATGTACATAACCTTTAAAATAGACACTCTATGCTTAAGGCCCCTTTTCAAAAGGGATGAAACCGAGAAGTAAGGTAAATGAGCTCAAACACAGTAAAGACTAAACATCCAATCTCACCTTATTCGAGTAGTTGTAGCTTGATCAGCAGCATTTCGGTTCCATATTGAGATTATATCTTCCTACAGAAGATTGACATAATTTCAACAATTTCAATATTGCAATATACAATATTGTCATAGTCAACCTCAGAAAAAACTGACTGAACAAGTTGATAGAATTGGGAAAGACTATCTGAAGTATGTGTAAGCAATTATTGAGAACGTCTCTGTTCTCTTTACACAAGATTATTAAAACTTCTTTTCTTTCTTTGTTAGAAAATGAATCCAGATTCCATGCACAAACATTTCAGCATGAGTTGAAAATGCTTTCACAATTTATGCCATTGCAGAAAAGAGGCCTGGAAAAAATTCAGGCTTCAACTGTGTTTTAACCAGTGCTTCCCAGCTACTACACAGGTGCTTCTAACAACTGAACTACAAATCTACACATACATCAGAGGAAAAAGGAAACAATGAATGAGAATTACTTCTTCACTTGAATTTCATATGCAGATTAACAATAGTTATATGTTTTGTAGCAATGAATATCATCATATTTCATCTGAAGGATCATCATTAATGAGGTCATCATTATCAGTCAATGCCAGTACCTGAAATCGAACAGATATCACGGCACCACAAACTTCACTTCCAACCATGAACTGCTCCCCAAGCATAGCCAGAATCTACCATAATAAGAAAACTATTAATACTTCTCATGCGAAAACTTGACTACTAGGAAAATGGTACTAACTAAATACAAAGTACACATAACTGGTTTCTCCAGTTTCCACATGTTATACAGTCAAAGTAATAATAATAATAATAATAATAATAATAATAACAATAATAATAATGATAATAATAATAATAATAATAACAATAATGTACTGGAAGTACATCAATTCCCAAACTGGTTGATTGCAACTATTAAGAACCTGTGCAGATGCTGGAATACTAGAGCTGCCATACAGACCAAGAATGGCAATGAGACATCTAACATCATTAGTTTCGAAAGAGGGTTACCACAAGGGATGCTCTGTGCCCCAGATTGTTTACATTGTGCCTAAATCCCTTGGCGTGGAAACTTGCAGCGACAGAGGGGTATAAGATGTCGAAGCCAATCAATGCTAAAATAACAGATGTATTGTATATTGATGATCTGAAAGTTTATGCTCAATCTGAAAGTAAACTCAGCTGTGTATTGAAGAACACCAACAGTTGCATGAATGATATTGGCCTACAGCTAAACCCCAAGAAGTGCAATGTAATCCATCTGAAATGAGGTGAGGTACACGAGACCCCTGGAATTAAAGTCAGCGATACAGTAGTGGTACAACCTCTGGAAGAAGACTCACAGTACAAGTTCCTGGGAATCTTCGAGAATGTGCGCAGGAAGAGAGGAGAATGTTGGAGTGTGCTGAAAAGACATCTACAACGTTTGTCAGTAATTTGGTCAAGTCCATTGTCAGATGTCAATCGTTGCCCCTAATCAGTATGCACTAGCGGTCCTTAAGTACCCCATGTGGATGCAGCACTGGCTGCTGACAGAACTAAGGAGGATTGATCGGGAAGCACAGAAAATCATGGTAACAAATGGAGGAAAACACCCAGCGTCATCAACCGCCTTATTGTGCATGTGGAGGAAGAAAGGTGGACGTGGCCTGCAGTCTGTAGAGGGAGAACACAAGATAAAGAAGATTAAGGCAGTAATGAAACTGTACTCAAGCAGCGACCCTAACATGACAACCGTAAGAGAGTTTGAAGAGCGCGCTGCTGCGTTGGGATACCAGTCACTCATTACTGAGGCCCCGAGGTATAGTGAAGAACTTCGACTGACGTTGAGGCTTGTATACCCAGAACCTACGTTATGTGAAGCTGCTGGAGAGGAGGTGACTGCGACAAAGGCAAAGCAGCTGCTGAGATCAAAGTATGAAGAACAGTTGTTGAAGATAGTACGTGACGAATCATGGCAAGGAAAGTTGCATACAGCAAGTGTACAATAAGAACTGCTTTTCGTGGTTAAGTGATTGGACGTCATGCCCAATGTATGTTGTGGCCGGCATGTATGAGCTGTATGAACAGCTTCTACCAACAAAGTTATACCAACTTAAGAAGATTAAGACATCACAGTCAAGTAATGTGTCCTGTCGTATGTGCAATAAGGCACCGGAAAGCTTAGCTCATGTATTATTGGGACGTTCAGCCCTCGCTCAAAACAAGTATTTGGCAAGACACAACAATACACTGAAAGTACTATATTTTGAGTTGCTACGAGAGCTACAACTGGTTGAAAGTCCTCCTGCATGGTATTCGCCAATCAAGCCTAAACCAGAATACGTCTCAGAGGATGTCCAAGCATTGTGGGACGTACCAACTTATGGGGAGAACCAGGAACTGCAAGCTAACAGAATCGATGCAAAGACAGTGAACCATAAAAGTAAGGAAGTAGTAGTCTTGGAGATGAGTTGTCCATGGATTGAGAACAGAGGAAAGAAAGATGGAGGGAAGTCAGTAAAGTATGGTCCACTACGATGGGAGTTACAAGAACAGTACCCTGGATATACAGTCCAGCAGCACAATATTATCATGGACGTACTTAGGGGTTGGTCAAGGACTATGGAAGAGGGATTACGGAAGTTGTTGGGAAAAAAGACAAAAAATGCAGAAGTCTGTAGTGTCAAGTACGTTGAACATTGCGAGGACTTTTAAGATCATAACATAAACAGTAAAACTACAAAAGAAACTTTTGAAAGGTTGAACATTATAAGAACATTATATAAGCATGAAGTTTATTCCTACATATGAATATTAATTTGAAGGATAGTTTTTAAACATTGACAGAAGGAAAATTAAAAGTTGAGTTCCGCATATTAGAAGATTAATCAACTTATGTTGAGAATTTAGTTTATAAGTTTTACAGTGATCTTATTCACAGAACGTGACTTAGTTGTTACATATATTAATAATAGATTGTAAATTAGCAATGGTATATTAGTATTAGTGGTATCTTAAATAATTTTCCATGCTAGCAAATACGTTTTTATATTTTTTATAAGTGCAACGAAGTGTAGTTTCATTGGTTATGCCGTGCGCCCTATGAAACTTTCTTTTCCTGGCATACTGAAGTTCAATAAACTGCATCATGATAATAATAATAAATAATAATGATGATAATAATAATATTTAACAAGGGAGCTCGACTTGCCACAGTGGTTTTCAGTGGGGCCCTCACTGTTTATAAATAAATTTAAAAAGTAGAAAGATTTAGGTTGGGGTCAGGTTATTCAGGTTGAAAGATTTGAAAAATTGTTTCTCTAGAGGTACTGTATCTGCAGAGAAGCAAAGTTGGTCTTCCTCCAAAGATATCATTTACACCACTACAGTTTGTGTTGGCTACTTTGTATTGTATTTTATTGTATTGTATTGTTTATTTTGCCATTTTGTAATTTATGATACATTAGTAGAAATAAAAGGAATTACATATACATTAATATAACTGAGGATTTAGCATGCGGTGAGGAAACCTGCAAGGAAACCAAGAGGCTTATGCAAGCTACTGGCTCCCCATATTTTACAAAAATGAAGCATCAGTTTTTGGCATGATTTAGGTACAAAATATTTTAGGTTAAAAAGGAAAGAACACACACACATATTAAACAATGATAACAATAGCAGGCACTGAAACAAACATTACTTAAATAAGCACCTTGGGAAAAATAAAATACAGTAAAAGAAATAATATGGGAATAAGAAGGGATTCAACTGAGGAGTAATGTTCACAATTTAGATTTGAACAACCATATTAAATCAGTTTGTTTCACTTGAACATTCATAAGGAAAGAAAAACAAATTATTATGATGAAAAAGTCATCTCTGTTTCATACACTTTGAACCTCAGGGGAACTGGTATGCAAAACATCATCTTGTAAATATAAACAAGAGATCGGAATAGGAGAAATTGCTCTTGCAATGAACCTTCAAACAAGATATTTCATACATACAATCAAATATAAAGGAACATAATTATGCTATTATGTGATAACAATTTTAATAGAAAATTATTTAGGAAGCACAGAAAAATTTCAAAAAATAATGAAGTCAACCTACAAGGTTCTCCCAGCATCTTGAAGCTAGTCCTTTCCTCAGTCTAACTATCCACTTTCCTCCACATTTGTTAGCTTCATCCTACAATAAAGACATCTACACTGTCAACAAGAATGGTTACCACACTGACAAGTACATGATTTCACCCTTGCCACGACTTTGACCACCATCACATGTACCTGAACTTGTACAATTTAAAGGGATGATGTACATAATTTGTTATTTCCCTGTTTACAGAAATTTAAAGAGAGTGAACTAACACCTTCTTTTATTACGACTTCCTCAAAGTACATTCAATTTGTTTTATTCGCTAGTCATTCATATCATGTATTGTGTTACCTGTAGGTTATAAAAACAAATTCCGACAAATATCTAGATTATCACATCATAAGGAAGTCAGATCCAGTTGTTACACAATGTACTGTTATAAACTTCAAGAAAGTAGGATATTGTTTGCACAGCAAGGAATCAGAGATGTGGTGATATAGGCGGATTCATGCTGACGTCACTGTTTACATTTTTTGCTCATTTGCATACGGCTTTGCGTAAAGAAGGAGGCATGTTAGATACAAATTGACTTCAGGCAGCTAAAGAGCTAGAAAACCTTAGTACATGGGGAAATTTTTAGCTCTTTGGGTGTAATATTCAAGGAGAAATAATCCATCAAAAACTGCAAAATTTCTGGGTGGCAAAAGTGCTAATGAGCTCATACATTCTATGTAAAATTTTGAGTTTTTAAACCGGTGTTGCACAAAAAGTATTCTATGCATCAGCATCGTATTCACTGGCCGAGTTAATCATACTTTGACCTTTTGATATTCAGAACTGATTTATTTTTAGCTCCATCAGAAACTGAATTGCTTATGCTAATGAGGCAAATATTGTAAACAAGGATTCCCCAATACAATGGACAGTCTCTTGTATGGGTTTATTTATTTATTTATTTAGCTTCGCCAACCGGCAGGGACTGCAACAGCTTCGCTGATTACTGTGGGCCCAATAAACCCACCCATCCC